AGCGCATTTTCCTCCAAACCGTTGTATTCAACTAAACAGTCTAAAATATGCATATTTCCATAAATCAAGCAAAAATAAATATGCAATTCTCTTGTTGATTTTTCTAGTAATTTCTATCGAACATTCCTTAATAATTTCTCATTTTAAATGTATGATTTCCATTTGTCAGTAAAATTATTTTGTAAATTTTATTTTCTTCTCAGAATCGACAAAAAATACATATACTTCAGGAAAATAATGGAAATAAACGACTTAATGTAATTGAGACCTTTGTGAATAAATACGTGAAGCTTATAAAAAAATCGCATGTTCTTTTGATCATTTGAAAAATTTTTTTTTGCGTCTAATGCCATTATTAACGCTAACTTCCATTTTCACGTAATTTTCGTTAGGTTGTGCAGTTTGCTTTAAAGAAGTCAAAAATCAGTTCATGGACGTTATTGTTTTTTTAATTTTATTTGCAACCAGTTTAGTTTTTTAATTATATCGCAAATTAGAACGCTTAAAGGCACCATTACGAATCTACAGGGCTGTAAAATTTTATTTAAAAATCTAGATCATTAATATATCCAAATCCGCTTGAGCTATTTTAATATATTTTTATTATTAATTTGCATTATTATGATTATCAATTTTGTTACCTCCTCATTAAAATAAATCGCCAATAATTTCGAACTTTGAATCAAAATAGCTGATGGTGTGAAAGTCCTCCTGCATTAATTCGATTTTTCTTTTTTTACATGAAAATTATGCCTTATCAGAACAAAACTTAAGAGATATTTTTTGTTCGCACTTGAACAAGCAATTAAATGATGGAATATTTTTTTATCTGTAGTGCACCGTTTTTTTCTTCAAAAATATTGAATGTAATGTGTGTACGCTCGTCACAGATGGACCGAAAAAAAAGTTTGATATAATATATACATATATATATACAGGGTTGCTCATTAGTGCGTCAAAGTGCGATATCTCAGTAAATATGAACTTTACAAGAAAATACGTCCTACGAAAGTTTTTCA